CTTATAATAGTCGACATATAATTGAAGCAATGACCAAAGCTGGTCATAATTTTCGTGTTGTACAAATTTGTGGTGGTTTAGCACGATTATCATTATTAACACAAATCATGGCTGATGTTGTTCAAATGCCTGTTTCTGTATCGGAAGCAAATTATGATTGTGTTCTATTAGGTGCAGCTATATGTGGTCAATTAATAGCAGATAATCCACGACAAGTACAAGATTTATTAAATGGTATAGCTTGTCCAATTCAAACGTATATGCCAGATCTCAAAATGGCAGATTTTCATAAAGATAAATACGAAATTTATCGTCTATTACAAAAAATCGAAATTGATAGTCGTCAACGTATGAGTAAATATCGTCAATCATAAACAAAAAAAAAAATAAAAGTGCTTTTTCATATTGATTGAGACTCTGTTTTTCTGTGCAGTTATATCGATCATTTTTTTTTAATTTGATTTTAACTTTCTATTGTCGGTTACTAGAATTTATATATGCTTTTGTTTGATTTTAGATTAAATATAAACATATATCAAAACTTCTTATATCTTCCATGCATTTTTGTCAATGTAAATAAATATAAACAAGAAATTTTCAGTGAAGTTTTCCATCTCATTTGACTGTAGTCCATAAAATATGTTACAAAGCAGGAACCCATGAGCTCTATCGGATAGTATAATCAAGTTGCCGAATCGAAAAAAAAATTCGCGAGTTCATTGACGAGACGAAATGGGACTTTGCAAGTCCACTAGCAGACAAGCATGGTAATTTGGCGAAACGAATAAGGAACCGAAGGAAGAAATAGCGCAAGTCGTTTCTAAAAATTCAATGCCGAAAAATAGTTATTGACATTGCTACAGAGATCTTTCTCTCGAACAATATAGCCAGATCATTGAGGATTTATTTCCGAACTAACTTTAGCACCCATGTCGTGAAAATCGCCGCGATTTTCGCGATTTTCTGAAAAATGAACGTTAAATCACGATTAATCGAAATACATTGAAAAATCGACGATAAAATCAGATTTTATCGCGATATTGAAAAGAAAATCGATTAATCGCAATTAATCAGATTTTTTAAAATAATCGGATGTAAATGTGCTTTTGAGTAACTAAAATTTTGATATAAATTTACAAAAAGTACAAATACAGTAACTTTAGACGGGTAGATACTTCACAGTGAAGAAAAAAGTAATTAGTGCATTTGATGTACGTATCGTGTCTTCCATTTGATTAGACAATCGAGACAAAGATCATTGTTCTGCTTTGCTCATTGTTTTAATGTGTTTGGCAAGCATACTGGAAAGTTTAATTTCATTCCTATCAGATGTTTATGCTAATATCAAGTATATATATATATATATATATATGAATTCTTTCTATGGCACATAATTGAGTTTTTATTCAAGGTTTAGTGGTTATAATGCATTTATATACTAGAGCTCGTCATAATCATATTTCGTTCGATCAGCATAAAAAATATTCAGCTTCATTATAAACAATTTTAAAAAAAATAGTCAAGACTATGAGAAATCATAAAGTAAAAAAACTGATTTGAGTCAAATGTTTAGTTCTCTTTTAGAATCAACTAGTATTGTTTGATAGGACAGGACCGAAGTATCAATATGAGTTTTTAATACAGGCAGTCTTGTAAGTAGGAATGTATTATATTTCTTTCTAGTCTTTTTCTCTTTATTTTCAACACTAGTAGCGGGAAAAAATTTGCCTCTTGCTAATTTGAGATGATAAAAAGAATACAAGTAAATTGTATTAAAGATTGTCGATCGAATATTCAAAGAAGGAAAAAACTTCTTGATATTGATTCCCCTTGTATTGACACAGTTAATCAGGTTAGAATCATTAAAGGTAAGCCATTTCAACTGCACTATCCAACCATTTTTTGTTTTTACTATAGATTCTGTTCAAATTGGATTTCGTTTAACAGCGGATTTGCTGGTAACAATGTGGATACTGGCACTCAAATGTATCAAGTCTTAAGAAAATTCAGGTAAAATTTTGGAAAAATGTAACCGAAGCAGATAGTTTTTCCTCAATAGGTTCTAAAATATGCTTCTACGTTTTTCTCTTTTAGATAATAATAATAATTTTGGCAATGATTTTGAGAATGATCAACACTATTGATGTCATCATTATATGAAAATTTTAGCATCTGAATAATCGATAGACAATTTTAATGATAATGAAAATTAGAAAAAAATATATTGAAATTGGATGTTCTGATTATTGACGCTATTTTGATAATTATAATTAACTTTTGATTATGGCGTTCGGCATTATGTTTCATACGCATATATAGATTCGACTTATATT